GCAAACCAAGACAGGCCCAAATTCAGTAAACAAGTGGCTGGGCTGACCACAAAGAAAAATCTCTCCACTTCCTCAGGAATCACAGGCTCAAACTCATCACACCATCAAACTATGCCCCGGTACCTCAGCCTGCCCTGCCTAGTCAGAATCCAAATCAAAATAAATCTGAATGACATTATCCATCAGACAGCCTAAATAATCTCCAGAATGACCCAAATAGGGATTAAGTTAACCTAAACAGAATTTCTGGATGGCTATTGGCGGACACAATAAGGACAGAAAAATACTGACATTTGGCTGCCATTATGGCCATGAGGTAATGCCTAATATGGCCTTTTATTAGTGTCCAGTCATACTTACTTCCAATCTTCCTCCAATGGTGTTCTAGACATTTTTTCTAGTACTTCATTTCCTAGAGCCCCTTGGTAAACCAAGGTGCATTCAAGGATTGATGAACAGGGAAGGGCTACAGAAGCAATGTATGATCCACAGCCCCAGCTACCCACCCATTTCTGGCAGCAACTAAGGCTTCAACCAAATCATCCACCAGATCTTCAGGGAAAATTACAACCTTATTCTGGAATCCTATTGGGTCAAGGAATCTCCTGGGGTGGACTGATCAAATGGGCCCTGTGAACCTGCCTTCCTGAAGGAAGGGGTGAAGGATGCTGAAAGCAGCCAGAAGATGATCTGTTTATGACAAAAGACTAATGCTAATATCATCCACTGCCAGATTACATCTCAACTGTCCCAAGACAAAAACCAGATATACTGTATTTTTCGGAGTCTAACATGCACATTTTTCCCTCCTAAAATAGGCTGAAAATTTGGGTGCGTCTTATACTCCGAATGTAGCTTTTTTTGAAGCTTTTTTTCAGCCCTAACGAGGCCCTAGCAAGTGAAGCGATCTCGGTACTAAGCTTTTTTTCAGTGAAGGATCTTCCCTGCTTTGCCTGTTCCCTCCAACTCTCAGCTGTGAAGATTTTTTAAAGCCCTAACGAGGAGCTAGCAAGTAAAACCGATCTCCGTGATTTGCCTGCTTTTCTCATTGCTTCTCTCTCCAAAGATCAGTTGTGCTTTAGAATCTGGTTTTATCCCCAAGCAGGAAATAAAAAACAGCAAACTAATGTGCTGAAGCTGACCAAACGAAGGACGCTAGTCAGATGAATACCTGGTAGGCAGATTTTTTTTTCCTATTTTCCTCCCCAAAAACTAAGCTGCGTCTTATACTCTGGTGCGTCTTATACTCCGAAAAATACGGTAATTGTATGGCCTTCCATGTGGATCTGGCTACATATGTTTTAGGACTGGTCTATGGTTGCATAGACTGCATAAACTTCTGAGCTTGCCCCAGATGGCAAGTTCAAGCACCAATAACCTAGAGGACTACGGCCAAGCCAGGAACAAAATCCAGCAGTCAGGCCAAGATGCTGCTAGGGGCAGCATGAAGGGTGATAGATCACCAGAATCCCAACTTCAACCAGAGTGCCTCCCATCAGGTTATCTGTGGAGGAGAGCCTCTGAAAGCCTCTGAAACTCACAGATAACAACATTCACTCCCTCTTATCCTGCTCTTCCTGAGTTCTCTGCCAGTACAGAGCTCTAAATCTAGGAGGGCACATTTCCAAGAGGGCCCAATCAGATATCGGTAAAATATGCCAAATTGGCACTCTCCTCCAAAATAAAATCATGGGTAAGGGCAGCTTTCGTATACACTGAACTGGCATTCAAAAGCAACAGCTGAAGTCCAGGATCATTGAAGATCTGATTGCCAGGGGCAGGCACCGAGGGTAGAAACTGAGTGCCAGATGGCAGGACTGCTTTTAAACAGCAGTCTGATGTCCCTGCACATGGCCCATCCTCAAGTTATCCCTGCTTGCTCCACTCAGCTCCCCTCTTCCCACCTACTCCGCTATGCTTTCTTCTAGGTCCAGACACAAATCTTTGATCTCGCCACCACCATCACAACAAGACAATTCCTCTATAACTCAGTAAGACCCATCAGGAACTTAGTCATCCCTAACCACACCTGCCTCAAGGTACTCAGTGGTCTGGGGGATCCAAGTCCCAGCAGGACTACAGGACTCCCAGGGAGTGACACCAAACACACAAACAGAGAGAATGTAAGAAGGCAAAGCAGAAGCCAATCATTACACGCTAACTGGCCTCTCCAGGAACAAGGCTTCAGCAGTAGTTTTTTCCTTTCATTGGCTTGCTGCCTGGTATGGGAAGGAGTTCAAATCCCATCATCTCCAGCCAACTGACTGGAACTGATGGGAATTGGCATCTGAGCCTTCTAAAGTACAGTGCCAAAAAGTTCACACATTTGGAGAAAGTGTATTTCTTCCAAGAGCTATTGCTATCCATATAAATATTGGTAGTAGTCATAATTGCAGTAGTACTATTAGCCATATATGTATTAGTTTGAGGGCATCCAAACGGCATACATTTTGAAAACTTGTGCATTAATCCATAAACTATGGTTTAGAAATCACAGTGCTTGGGTTCACATAACATAGCAAACATTCCAAACCTAAAACAAATTATGGTTTCTACGTGTTTTGTGACATGGGCAAGAAATTTCAAGAAGATATAGAAGAAAATGGGTCTGATTATTTCATGGAGGATGGAAAATGAAAAAAAAAGCTGATAAACAAAATGAGCAGAAAATAATAATGGATGGACTGGTCAAAATGGGAGGGAAGAGGGCATGGGATGGAAAAGGGCATGGCATCTGCATTGTAATTCAGTTTGTCCTCTAAGTGGCTGAAGAGGGCATGAGCACTCATGTCTCTAGTCTAGAGGGATGAAAGAGTTGCCCTGTTTGGGGCAAGGCTGAACAGTGTGAATGGTAAAATAGTTGCACTAAGTCTTATACATATTTGGTATTTTGCATTAAAAAGTTGAGGAAGTGTTTGGCACACTTTCTGTGCCAAATTTCATTTGTGTGGTTTCAAAGAACCAGGAGCTACAAAATTGGGGCTGGTGGACCACATATAACCTATGATTCAGAGCTATGAAATGAGAGAAACAATGCGAAGAAATAGATCAGGATGTGTCATATGTAAATCCAGTGAAAACAAGCTGGGCTTTGATGTTCATCCCAGTAGAAATAACCTCCCCCCCACCGTCCAAGTAACTTTCATGTAAAACCAAAGGACAAATCTGAATGCTTTCAATTAGATATATCAATGTGTATTGAAGTATACACAAATTACTTTATAGATCATATTTTGCTTCATGTTATTTTCAGCAGACAAGCTAAGCATTTTCTCTCACATGATAATCAGCAGAAAGTTCACATACATCAGAAAACTAAACAGGAAGTTTGCTATTTAAAATATTTCCCTTTCAGACAGGATGAAGAGGAGAGGAAGAGGAGAAAAAATGTGAAACCTATTATGGCAAGCACTCTACAGAACCAGCCAGATACTTGATTACTTCTTAATTATGCAGCTAATAAATCCTGCAGATATTGTAGTTGGAAGATAATGTAGTTGATGTTTATATAATCCTGAAATTATCTTTGTTCCATGAAATAGACAACTTTATCCATATGCAAAACCATATTCTATTATATTGATTCTAGAAAAACAAACTTCTGTCCAGGAAGTACATAAAATCAATGTTTTTAAAATTATATATTTTATTTTTTAACACTTACTCAGACTTATTCACACAGTAAATCAAATAAGTGAACTGATTTATATATGATTAAATTGCAAGTGTAAAATACAGTGTCTAAATTCATACATTAATCCAAAACTTTAAAACATAAATTTTGGGTTACTGTGATGTGTGCATCTAAGCCAGTGGTGGGATTAAATTTTTTTTACTGCCGGTTCTGTAGGCGTGGCTTGGTAGGCGTGGCATGGCTTGGTGGGCATGGTATGGCTTGGTGGGTGTGGCTTGGTGGGCATGGCAGGGGAAGGATACTGTAAAATCTCCATTCCCTCCTCACTCCAGGGGAAGGTTACTGCAAAATCCCTATTTATTTCCTCCCGATCAGCTGGGACTCAGGAGGCAGAGAATAGATGGGGGCGGGGCCAGTCAGAGATGGTATTTACCAGTTCTCTGAACTACTCAAAAGTTCCGCTACCGGTTCTCCAGAACTGGTCAGAACCTGTTGAATACCACCTCTGATCTAAGCCCTAGCGTTGGACCCAGTCTTAATCAAAGTAGACTTATCGAAATAGTATTTTTTAAGTATCATTCTTTAAGTATCACTTCAGTACAAAGGGCCATCTTAAAAGTGGCATTAACTTAAATGGATTCAGTAAATTAAGTTCCATGCCATGTTTTTTTTTTCTCAATAATCAGTCACCAACCATTACCCAAACAAGATTTGAGAAGAAGGATTTCAAAGGGGAATAAGTGAAAAAAAGGGTAAATGCTACAGTACATGTGGCTTTAATATTGCACAGATGCTGTAGATCAAACCCCATCCACCCCCCCACCCCACCTTTGTACTTTTACTCTTTCTCTGGTTATCCCTTTCCAGAACACAGGACAATATAGAGACTTTAAAGTTGAAACGAGGAAACTTCGACAGTTAACACCTCTGCAAACATAAACTCATCAAACGGGATTTTCTTTTTCACCGCCTGAACGCTCCGAAGTTATCTGCTAGGTCGGAAATGGCCCTTAGTAGGAAGCCCAGATTTCAGCTTGTTTGCTCCCAAACGTTACTTTTTTTTTTTCCTTCCTGTTTACACATCAAGTAAGACTTGTCCAGGGCCACCAGAAATCCAAGATGCGCTTTTAAGATATCTGCGCTCCTTTCCAAACGCTGCTGACCTCGACGCCTCAAAGAGCGGCATCTTTTCATTTCACATCAGCAGCCCTTGCAGATTTATTACCTTCGCATTATCCCGCTCTAGGCTGACAAGCTTGGCAAAGGGGAGAAGGGGGGGAGGGGAGACAGGGCAATTCTTTGTGCATAAAGCAAGCTAGGAAAAGGCCGGGAACCCGGGGCGGGGGGGGAGAGAGATGTAACTCACCGACACCAAAAACTCCAAGGTGTTCACATAGTCGCGCTCCGTCTTCAGCAACTCGTTCAAAACGCACACCCGCAGGCGTAGCTGCTTCTCCGGATCCTTCCCGCTCTCGCCTTTCCCATCGCCTTTGCTTTCCTCTGTCATTATTTCTCTCCTTCCCAGAAGAAGCGCCGCTAAGAAAAAAAAAACTTTTCTCTTTTCTCCTTAAGGCGGCCGGCAGGACTCGGGAAAAGCCCTTCCCCCCCCCCCCCCCTCCCCGCACGAAGTTCAGAAAAGAAAACAATCCAAGCGCCCGCGCGCTTCCTTTAAGGAGGGGGCATCTCAGGGACTAAGACAGGCTCCCCGGCTCTGCGGCAACTTTCCTCTTCCCGCCCACCAGCAAGAGCTCTTTTTCCAGTAAGGTAGAGGGACCCTGCCTGTAGGAAATGAGCGGCCTCCTCCGTAGAGCAAAGAGGTTTGGAGGATCACAGCAGGAGCAGCCCTTGGACATTAATCAAACGCGTTGCGTCCATGTGACTTCGAGCCCTTCCGTCGCTCGCGCCAAATCTCAGGAAAAAGGAAAGGAAGCCCAACCTTGGGAATGGTTGTGTGCCAACAATGGCTTGTTTGATACACAAGCCTGTGTGCGCTCGAGTTTGTTCTCCCCTAATTGGAGATCTCTCATCTGAAGAGCTGCAACTTTAAAGTGTCCTAATCCAGAATTAAATTCTGAATTCTGGCTCTGAATGTATTCTTCTTGGTGTTTTAAGTGACCTGTAGGTCGTGCCTCCTACCCACATATTCTTACTTGTCTCAAGTATTATGTAAAAAAGCATGCAATGGCAAATAGAAAAGGGGGCGGGGTTCCTATCACAAAGCCCAATACAGTAATTAGTTTGCATAATTACATAAAGTACTATATCATACACACCACCTATGGCACCAAAGTTATTCAACAATTTATACTACTGAATGTATTTACAGCAAAAGCCATACTCCCAACCTTCCCAAAAAAGTCAAGAAAGAGGCATTTATAATGGTGGTAACTCTGTTGTAGTAATGTCCTATCAAACAATCAACGAAAAATGAAGGTTAAATCCATCCTGCAAGCTTTCTAACATTCCATTCCTATACCTTTGAGTTAATATCTGCACAGACACAAAGCAAATGCACCCAAATATACATGTTTCCTCCTTGTTATTTATATACTCCATTGGTGCAAAGAATTATTTGTTTATATGATGCACTTCTACCTTGTCCTTCAACCACAAAACATTTCCTGGCAGCTTGGAAAGACCAAGTGATTTTTCAGAGTTATTACAGCCTCCATTTCAGCGTAGATGTAGTCATGCAAAGGTTAGATAGCCATATGTTGTGAAACTAAACTACTTCAGAGTAGTTCTACAGAATATTGTTATCACAATTCTAAGCTAGGCCTAAATAACTATCAGTACTAAGCTGACTTTAAGTGAGAAAGCAACACCACTAAGGAAAAAAAAATATAACTGGTGGTCAAGGCTGTATTCCTGTATCAAATATGCTGCTAACAATTTCTCTAACACTGAAATGCTGCAGAAAGTAAACTCAGTACTGCAGCCTAGGGAAATAAAAATGGTGTCATGGTTTCCATCTAATTTTGAGTAGATATGAGAAATTATTTCTACTTTCAGCACAGCACATGCTGCTGAGACCATTTAGGTACTGAATTATAATTCCCACCATCCCTGACCACTGCTTATGTTTGTTGGAGTTGTATGTTGTGGTAATTCAACAACTTCAGGATGTCTGCAGTATTCCAAATCCTGATTTAAGTAGAGATCTAATGGATGTCCTGTGATAAACAAAAGGAGTAAAAACCAAAAGATGTTTTACTTGCTTCTAAAGGTGTTTAATACTGGCAGGGTAAAATAAATGAATCTGTGATGCAAAGTAATAGCCATGGCACCGTAACTGAAGATTCAGTCTTGCTAGGGATTTTGTCACCTATCAAATATAGCACTGAAAAGAATTAGCACTTATTAATATTATGGGATAAATGTTTGTGGTGCGCTGAGTATGCTACCAGAATATCAGATTCATGTTTTCATTGAGACAGTTACAATGAAGTGCATTCCAATGTGCTTTTCCTCTCTCACATGTACTTGGTGAGCCAAAACACTAATGCCTCTCTCAATAGCAAATAAACGAGAGTTCATTCAAAGACAGCTTGTGAGCCACTAGAGAAAAGGCAAAGAACAAGAACAGTCAATCCTCTGTTTTCTTAATTTTAATGTGTATAGTTTAGGAAAAACCACACCACAAATTGTGTCAGGAGCCAGGATGTAGAAAAGCAATTATTTCCTGTGAAAAGAAAGTTATATAAGATACAAAGATGATGTGCATATGTATACACATGTGTAGGGAAGAAAATGCATTCAGCAATACTTATCCAAGTTCCTTTAATCATGCTTGTGGAAAAAAAAAAACCTTCATTCTTTAGACAGTAAAACTGGGCTACCAAACCTTTGGGTCCAGTGAGTACCTTTGGAATTTTGAGAGCACATTATGGGTACTAACAAAATAGTTACCATGGTGAGTGTGGGTGACCACAGAACACCCTCATACCAGAAGACAAAGCATTTGGTTGTAGCTACTCCCCATTTCTTTTTTCATAAGAATACCTACAAAATCTATGTGGGGTCCAGAAGCAGAGCTGGATATAAGAGTTATGCTAGAGGACAGTATTGAAGCCATTCCTTTTCATTTTTTTCAATTAAGAGTTTTTTTTTTAAATCAAATTAAGTAGGGCAGGGAGCTTCAGAAGTGCCAAATAACATACCAATAGACATTCTGTCCACTCCTATCTGGAAATTCAGAGTATATAGACCAAAGACATTATAAACTTTTTTTTCTAGTTCAATATAACCTTGAGTATTTCACCCAAATTAGTAATTATCATATATGTTAAGACCAGATGCTAACATTTCTTTTGTTTGCAAAGACCTTTGCTTAACTGTATTTGAGTGAGGTTTATAATTTCAGTCTGTATTAACTATGACATAGAGACCAATCCTGCAGTAAAAAAGCTATAATAATTTATCAGACACTTTTTCAAGCCAAACTGCTGTAAACAAAAAAAAGAATGCAACTCTCTGGCTCACAATTTCCTCACTGTTGTTTTAAACCTTTATAATTTACCCCAAGTAAGTGACAAACTGATTGTCTTAAAGCAGGAACTGAGCACAAGTGATTCCATCCTTACATCTGAGCTAAAGGGAAATCAGAAAAGCTCATGCAAACTTGAGACTTGCAAGGATTTAGTGTTTTACATCTAAAAAGCCTGACATCTTTTACCTTAAAATTTATTGTAACTGATGGTACCTTAAAATTTATTATAACTGATTTCATAATCTTATTTGGTGCTTTCAAACAGTCAGCTTGGTACTGTACAGTACCTGATATTTTATTATTAATGCCAACTTCTGATTTAGCTGCTTTGGTTTGCTATGATTAATTTAAGTCTATTTAGAGTTTATTACAGTTATATAATGTTTTTAATATTCACTTTATCACTCTCACATAAGCCTGTAATGTCTATATGAGTCTTCCTTAATGAAGTGGTCAGCTGTTTCAATTGCTGAGATTAAAAACTTGATAGCTTGTCTGAAAGCTGGAAAAGTTTAGTAAAACTAAAAAGATTATGTTACAGCCAATAACACTGCATGCCAAGACCATTTCTAGGGGCTGTAAAAGTCCTGCCAGCTTCCCACATTACAGCTTGGCCTGGCAGCATTCCTGGCATAACATTAAGTAGCCTTTGAGGTCTGCTGCTATCCTAGGCCACTAAAAGTCCCTTAGCCTTTTGTGTAAGGTCTCGAAGGCTACCTCATGCCCAACCATTTTAATGTCAAGGTAACGTTGCAGCACTTCTTCCTTTAAAGGCACAGGCATGAAGATCCTGCCCTTATGCCATGGATTTTCCTCTTCCACCAAAAATATATACTATACCTTGTTGGATTCCCTTGAGATCATCTATCCCGTTCTGCACATACAGGTCTTGCTGCTACTCTTCCAAACAGATGTCTATGAGCATGCAACATTGGGCGGACTCCTCTAGATTCTGTGGACCTCTCTTTCTCACCAGCTCATTCTGAATGTCATTGTGCAAACCATTCCTCAATTGGTCAATCAAGATTCCGTTATTCCAATGTAGAGAGTATGACTACACTGAGGATTTTAAAGTGCTGTTTAAAATCTTCTATATAGAATCATATTCTCTTGTTACCCTGTCAAATCTCAATTTTTTTCGGATCTGGTTTCCAGAGGGCACTCTGAATCTCTCCATGAAGTTCTGATTATTTGTCCATGATCAGGTCACAATCATTTATTATTGGCAGTGTCCACTTGGCCACAGACTCCTTTAATAAACTCAATATAAAGGATACTCTTGTGTAGTCTGTTGGAAACTCCATAGCTCAGTTTTCCATAAACAACTCAGACTGAGCAACAAAGGTTCTCTTCTGATCTGCTACTCCTCCAAACTTTTTTGGCACGCCACCATGGGAATGCAACAAGACTGGTTGTGCTACTGGCAACAGTGGAACAGACAGCGGCTGGGCATTCTGACCTTGTGGCTGAACCAATTGAAGGACTGTCAATCCTAAATTCCTCACTTCTGTTTCCATCTCCTCTTAATGTAGGAGCAAAGCTTATACCATTTCCTGGGGTGACATAGCAGTCTGTTGCCCTTTCCATGGTTTTCTCCTTCCCAGGAACAATGAGTCTGGTGAGATTTATGTCAGGCAGAAGGAACCAGAACAACTTCATGAATAGACCAAAGCAGTTTCGTTATTGTTGATCACCTATTATCTCACCAGAAGGTTGTATTCTTTTAGGAACCAGTAGATCATGCTTCACTACTCTGGTCTTTGACATTTCCTCCCCAAGAATGACTCCAAGCTGGCATGCTTCTTTACTGCCCCTCTTATTTTGCCGGTGACTCCACCACATTGTTATTGGTGTAAGGCTTAGGCAACAGGCTAGAAACCAGGAGATGATGAGTTCTATCTAGTCTTGCCTTAGGCACAATGGAGCTGGAAGTCAGTCACTCTCTCTTAGCCCTAGGAAGCAGGAATGGGAAATCACTTCTGAACCTGCAGCACCTTGTCCTGCAAAACTGACTCAAAAAAAAAATGATGAGGGGGGAGAATACCAAAATTGAATGTTGTCGTCGTATTTATTAACTTGCATACAGAATATATCTTGAAAAATGCGTACAGAATAATTTATTCCTGACATTATTTGCCATTTGGAATAATGATTACATATCAAAATTAGCATCCCTAATTGGCCATCTGCAATAATTATCAACATGATTCATATTTATTGCATTTGGAACACTTGATTAAGCAGTGAATTCAAAATGCATAAAAACTATTTTCCTTACTCAATGCTAGAAAATATAGGCAACTTAGAAAATTATATGCTTTTAAACTTAGAAATAAGGATGAATTCATGTACCACACAATCATTA